AATTGATGGAGAAAATCACGACGATTACACCTCTCGCCTTTTTCACTTTTCTCCTCTTTTTTATCTTTAGCGAGAGGGTGATCACTTGGGTAAATTGATAATTGTGAGGGTTGCATTGGATAGCTAGAGGAATTGACTATAGAGTTGAAAGAAGACGAGGGTCGTATCTTTTTAATTACACGAATTATGAGCGAAATAAAATCATGGAAATTGGAATTTTTGGGACAGATAATTTTAGTAGGTTGTCTCTTTTTGGGAGGGAAGTTTGGAAATTTGGAATTGTGGATGCGGTGGGATATAGCTAGGATAATATTCCACTGAAGAAAGAAAATATTACCCCATTATCTATTTAATTATTCGAGTTGTAGATAAACTAAAAATCGTAATTACGAACTTTCAAAAAAAGATGATTTTAGTAGGTGTCATTGTTCTGCATGGGAATTGGATAAATTTGATATGATGAGGGTGACAGTGGACAGAGAGGAAAAAGTCCCATCGAATTGACGAAAAAAGTATCTGAGTTGAAGATAAAATAAAAATCGTTAGTATTTTTTTAGGTTAGTATTTTCAAAAAAGATGATTTTAGTAGGTGTTATTGTTCTGCATGGAATGTTGATAAATTTGACATGATGAGGGTGACAGTGGATAGAGGGGAAAATTTCTCATCGAATTAAGGAAAAAATACGACTCTTGTATCTCTAATTATTTGAAATATAATCAAACAAAATTAATAAGCCAATTCGTTTCGTCACAGGGTACAGCAAGGTTACAAGGGTCAAGAGGGACAAAATCCCTTATTTTATTGTGAGACTATTTGATTTTACAAGAAGGGTTAACGGAGGTGATCTTTGTCCCCCTGCGGACCCTTGAGACATTTAGGGTCATAAGGGCCATAAGGGTCACATGGTACAGCAAGGTTACAAGGGTCAAGAGGAACAAAATCCCTTATTTTATTGTGAGACTATTTGATGTTACAAGAAGGGTTAACGAAGGTGATTTTTGTCGCCCCTGCGGACCCTTGAGACATTTAGGGTCATAAGGGCCATAAGGGTCACATGGTACAGCAAGGTTACAAGGATCAAGAGCGTCAAAATTCCTCATTGCATTATTTGATTATAAGTTGTTTTTTTGTGACCTTGATAAACTAATTTGTTTATCAAAATTTGGTCTTCGAATATCCCAATGACTCCAGATAAAATAGTTTCACCTTCCATTCAGATTCCGGAATTACCTTACTAGTCCACTGGGATGAACTTCAACCCCAGATTCATACATTTCCCAAAATAGGGAATAGGGAATTGTCGAGGCCATATTGAGGATATCAAATGAAATCAGGTTATTCTCGTTATGGGGCTAGGGTGCATCGGCAGCATTTTAGATGGTACAATGCGTGATACGAGGGAATGGTACGCATGCAGTTGCGTCCCAGGCGTAGGGCCTAGCGTTAATATAGTTCAGGGGGGCGGGGGGGGNTTCAGGGGGGGGGGGGGGGGGGCGCTTAGGGTAGGAAGACAGGTGGGATTGCGCTCGTATATCTATCACGGTAGAATAGTGCATTGTGCCAGAAATCGTGATGGCATGCCCATATGCCACGGGATGCAGTCATGGACCACTCCTGACGTACCAATTATAGATGACGTATACCAATATACGTTTCCAGTGCCTCAAGACATTGGAGGATACCCCATCAGATGCATTCCCATCGTAAATCGGAGGAAAAAAATTATCTGAGAGAATTTTTTCATCTTTTAGAGAAGGAGAATTGAAAAAATGTATACAAAAATTATCTGAAATTTTCTGGAAGTTTTTATGAAGGATGAAGTGAATTTATCTTCATCCAATGATTGAAGATGTTGTTGAATATTTTTAAAAGTATCTACACGGATGGCAAATCAGCGAAATGTCTAAATTATCTAGATTTTTTATAGATGGTGGGTAGCCATTCATCTAGTGTCTGAAGATACTTGAGAAAACCTCACTAGATGCTTTCTAATTACAACGGCGATGGAGAAATAATTATCCAGCTTAGATAAAAAAAATTATCTCAGATAATTTTGAACTATTTATGAAGGATGAATTGAATTGATTTTCATCTAATGGTTCAAGACACTCATGGTCATTTTCACACCTATCTGAGCAGATTGCAATTTAGAAAAAAATTATCTAACGTTATCTAGATTTTTAATAGATCCAATCATTAATTGCCTCAAGATACTAGAGAGACCTTTTTCGTATACTTCTTCATAAAGTGGATGAAAAGATCATCTGGACAATCTAGATGAAATCATCTTATTTAAAAATTCCCTCGATAATGAATGAAACGTATTAATATCCATTGCATGTCTCACAGAAATAATCTCTTTCCCGGTTCCCGAAAGCTCTCAATGATTCTCTCTGTCATTTCACCCTGAAAATTCCTCAACGCAACTTAAATCATTTCCGTGACCATAATCAAATTTCTAGAATTACACGCGATGAATAATTCTCGCCCCCTCTCAAAATACTCCTATTTATTCAAATTTCATTTCCCCCCCCCCTCCCCCCGTCGTTTAAAATGTTAATTCCATCTCTCTTCCACCCGAGAGCGTTAATCAATGTTTAATTTGTCAAGTGCTACTTAATGCGGTCAACTCAACGTGACTAGTGTCATTAATTTCAATTAATTACCGTCGTTACCACATCCCACAGGGCCACGCGGGGGATATTTTCCGCACCCCTTGAAATTCTCCTGTTGCGTGACACTATTTCTTTTTTTTTTTCACCTAAAAATGAAATGACGGAATACCAACGCCTCGCGGTTAATTAATTTTTGATGGAATGGAAACGACAAAATTTGACACTGAAAATTTCAATTTTTTTAAATCTTCAACAATTGTAAAAAAAAAATCGAAAAAAATTGAAAGTTTTTTTCAATTTTTACTTTCATTTTGGAATAAAAAATAAGACAATGTCTTTATCTAAATTACTTCTCAGAATACACTGAGAGAAAAAAATAGTTCTGCTGAAAAATTATATATTCTACCGCTTTACCCTAACCATGACCTCAGTTTTTAAAGAACTCTCTTATATTTATACATGTATAATAAACACTGCAAACACACATTGGCCAAATAGTTGAGTTGAATAAAAAACTTGAAATTAAATTAATTAATTTCCAACTATTCTCGGCTACGGAAAATTCCCCGGCTATCGACTGTGCCCCCAGCCCGTTCTCATAAACCCTTTAAAACACTTTTTTAATACGATGATCCTCATCACATCAGCCTCGCCCCTTAAACCATACCTTCATCCCCCGGATTGGACTCCCGCGAAGGGTTAAAAAAAACCCTCCAAAAAAAAAGCGATGACGAAAAATTTTCATCAAGCCCAGGCAAACGCAAATTTGCTTAATTATTCTCGGCTGACGTGAGCGCCATAGAGTACCTCCCGGTGAGAGCGTTGGGAAAAGCCTCGGTTGGGAGGCACGATGCCGCGTAATTGTAGTGGGTCGTTTATAGTTGAACGACCCTCGTAGCTGTGCGATTGTCTGTCATGCCTACGAGTGGCCTCTTATAGCCCTTGGAGGGATGCACTCCATTGCATCCCCATGAAAAAACTGTATCAAAATGAAGTTAAAAAATTTTTACCAGCATTTTTTGGCTTCATTTAATTTTCCTTTTAGTACAGGAGGTGGAGCTGGAGTAATGGGCTCTTCCTCTCTTTCTCCCCCCTCCCCTTCCCCCGCCCAGTGTCATGATCAACCACCCTAATAAATAATCAATGACATCTCCTCAATCACAAGTTTAATCATAAAAAATCATTGAAATACTCTCCCCCAAATTTGATTCTGATTATACCCCCGTGATTCTCAATTTGCCAACCAATTGGTACCAGGTGAGGACGTTTATTTGTCCAGTCGCCCTCAACAGTGTCATAGGTCCTCGTGAGCCGTGATCAGGGGGCGATGAGAGGGGCTAGAGGGGCGAGGGAGGGAGGGAGGGAATGGGGAGTAGTCCACTAATGGTCAAACAACGCTTGGTGATACGAGTGGAATCATTATGATGTACGTAACAGGGTGAGTAGACAGAAGTGGGCATCAAATTGACAGGGGGCATAATTGGTCGCAATTTGCGTACATCTGTACCAAGGACACTATCTCCACCCCCAACCACTTGTGACGAACCCCATCCCTTTGATCGTCTCAATCCAATGGTATTTCGCTCAAGATCGGGTGAAAATCGTTGAGTGATTGATACTATGTTTTTGGAGGTTATTCGAAGATTTGGGGATTAGCCAGGCGATGGAATGATGCACAACTCGAATTTAAACAATAGATGAAAAATTATCTCAGATAATTTGTCTTTTTTTTTCCCTCTAGAACGATTTATAATGGATTAAGGGTATTGATTCCCAGCCAATGGTTAAAGACATTGAGTTATTCAGTTGAAGCCACTTATTCTATAAAAAAATTATTTTTCCACTTCTAGAAGACCTCATTGAGGTGAAACAAGTCGAAACCAGCGTTTGGAGACGAAAATGCTCCGGTCCATCGTCCCAAAGAATTCAAAACCCTTCGACTTGCATTCCTCCGTTGCACAAACCAGATATTGTCTTCTACAATTGATCATAAAATCAGTATCGGTGGCATCTGCATTTGCGGGGGTCTTGTTATGTTGGTCACAACAGGGAATTCAGGATCAGACGATGGTGGTTACTAGATAGCAAATAGTTTGGGAGAATAGTTTTGCGAATGGCGAGAACGTTAATCGATTCTCGGTGCATCGAATATACTTTGTGGGTTAGAGACATTGTCTGGATTATTTGTGAGACAATTTGCTAAATTTGCTGAGTTCCTGGATATTTTATTGAAGTATTTGAAAATAAAAGAATGAATGAGTCGATAATGCGAAATTATTTGAATATTGATGAATATTAAAAAATAGGCCAGAAAAAAGAATGACATTGATGAACATAAAAAGACAATAGTGGAGGTAGAATATGCTCTTTTTTCTCATAATTACCTCAGCAGGAAAGGGGTAATTATTGACACGATGCTCCGATCCTAGTTTATTATCCATTCCATAATGAATATAAATCTCTTCAAACTGGTAATGATACGCCAATGGACCTCCAGTGATATTAACTCTGACCTTAGACTCTTTATCAGCCTTAAAGACCAGAAATTGGCCGGTATTGTGTAAGTGTCCAGCGACCTGCAATAACAAAAAATCATCAGGTTAAATGAAAAATCCATATTTCTGCATACACTACGCAAAATCCATGCCTGATATATAAAGAATTGAGCAGCTCAAAATGTGATGAATTCGCTCATAATCACTCACAAACAATTATTTCCGTGAATTCTGCGACAAACGGATTGCTCCATATCTCAAAATATTCAGAAATTTTGCGCCCCGATTATCCTTCCAAACAAAATCACCTCGAACCCCTCTCCACCCCAACTCCAAAATCAATAAACCTTTTCACAAAGAGTCTAGCGGAATAAGTATGGTGAAAATGCCCCCAACGAATTTTGAATCACCAATTTTTTTTGTTGTTCATCGTGATTAAATATGCTTGCATGCAATTTTTCAGATTTTTATCTGCATTCCTGCCAGTTTTGTCTTGAAAAAACCATCTTTTTCTTATTTCCACGTTTTCAGCCATCCAAAAGTGATCGAAAAATCTGAAAAAATTCTGAAAAATCAAAAATATATCAACACTTATCTGAGAATTTTTATTTAATTTTTTTATGATAATTTCTATTGAAACAAAACAATTGAGTTTTCAAAAATTGTTTTGAACATCATTGGATGAAGTGTTGATATATTTATGATTTTTCAGAATTTTTTCAGATTTTTTGATCACTTTTGGATGGCTAAAAACGTGAAAATAAGAAAAAGATGGTTTTTTCAAGACAAAACTGGCAGGAATGCAGATAAAAATCTGAAAATTTGCATGCAAGCATATTTTATCACGATGAACAACAGAAAAAATTGGTGATTCAAAATTCGTTGGGGGCATTTTCACCATACTTATTCCGCTAGACCCTTTCTATTCATCTCAAAAACTTTCCTCAACTGCAGTCGTCGACTCCATAAATCACCAAACCTCCATAATTCACCCCTCAGTAAGAAATAGAATAAGAACCTCAACTACAAGTGCAACCTCCTCAGAACATAAAAAAAAAACCCAAAACTCAAGACCGAAAATTCAAAAAAATTGAGCGATTAATTGTGAAATAATAGTTTATCGCAAGGAAATTCTGCCGACGTGTCTAACCCAAGTGAAAAGAGAAGAGCGAAGTGTAGGCGGAGGGGGGGGGGGAGTAGAGTTTGGTTCAATCCTCAACCCGAGGTTACCTCATTATTTCTAACTGATGACGTCATAATTCACGTTCACAGGACGTACAAGAAAATGGACTTCCCTCTACCAAGTCACCCTCTCGTTTTCAACCCACCATGCCAGTTTTACTCTCTTGCCCCTGTTACCTCTCCCCTCCCTCCCCCTGCCTACTCACCCATTCCGTCCAATTAAATCTCTAATCAATTATCGTAGAAGTCCCCCCCCCCACCTCCTCTCGTCCCCTTTTACCCCGGGGCGAACACGTTAGCCGGTTTTTGTCTGTCAGGAGTAAAGGAAACCCCCCACCCCAACTGGAACAAAACACAAACTCTGACGTTGGGTACAGGAGGGGGAAAGGCAAAAAGTAGTTTAGTATTGGGAGATGTTGAAGGGAAGTTTGGGCAAATTCGGAGGGTGTTTTTCGTGTGATTTTTTTTTCTCCTTCTTTTGATGAATTGTGGTGAGAATTTGTGATTCGAAGGGTTGAAAAAGTTTTTGTTTAAGGATGGGGGAGGGCTGCTTGAGGTTAGGGAGATGGGTTCCTGGAGCGCTTTTGGTCCTGAAAATTTTGAGACGTCTCGCATTATCTTCCCATAAAAATTCGCGGAGAAATTCTATTCTGAGTGATTGTGAGCAAAATTTCAGAATTCCAATAGAAATTTTCAGAATTTCAGATAGAGAACTAAACTTGCTAAATTTACAGAGTTCCTCGATATTTTATTTCTCGATATGCATTTGAAAATTCAGGGATGAATTCTTGGATGGTCTGAAATTATTTGAAAACATTTATCAATACTAAAAAATATTCGGTTTTCGTGCCAAAAATTTTGAGACATCTAGCATTAACTTCGTACAAAAATTCGCGGAAAAATTCCATTGTGAGTGATTATGAGCAGAGAAAATTTAAGATAAGAAAATATATTCCAGTAATGTCGAACCATATTCATTGTCAGCCCCGACTAATATACTATTTTTTTTTCACTTCCGGATGAATCAGCGGAAAACAAATGGGACCAATCGAATGGAGGGGGCGGAGCCTTCAACACCGGTAAGTTCTTTTAATTTATCCCAGCGGTGCTGTTTGAATAAACAAATAAAATTCCAGTAAATAGCGGGATTTTCGGGCGTTGAAGTTTAGTTTTAAGTTTTGGGTGGAGTTGTGGGTGGAGATTTTAAGGTGGAGGTCAGAAAGCACAGTCAGCAGAATGGAAAAGGTATAGAGCGGAAGGGGGCGGGGGCAATAGTTGAAGCAAAAGCCAAAGACGCTCCCGGTTTGAGTCGGTTCTATTGTTTAATTTAAGTGCCAAAGTTTAACCCTACCCTGACCCCCTCCGTCCACCCACTACTACCAGATAAATTCTGACCCGAGATAGGACGATTAACCCGCGATGACGTCAGCGTGCGGTCTGCACGGCTGAATCCAGGATTTTCCAATTTTCTTTTTCTTCAATTAAAATTTTCTCCCCTCGATTACAGGGAACGAAAGGAACTTCGATCCATTGGGGATGGATTGATATCACGCAGAGGAATAATTTATTTAAATCAAATAGAGTTTATTTTAATGAAATGATTGAGTTTATTTAAATAGCACGAAATACAGTTTTTATTTAAATTGAAAATTTTTCTTTATTTGAGATTCTGTTTATTTTAAATAAATGTTTTTTTATTATTAATAAATCTTTAGTTTATACAAATAAATTCTTTGTTGAAAACAAATAAAGATTTTTGTTTGAATCAAATGAATAATTTTTCTGGGTGAAAAGTATGATGTGATTTTTATATGGATCCATCATCATGGATTTTATCATTAAAGACATTGACATTAACCATGGAATAACAATCATTACCCATAATTCATCGGAAACAATTACCACTTTCAATGGATTAGAATCTAAAATATTAATTATCGAATATCAGCGTTAACCGAAACCCCCTTTCATACGCATCATCAAGTCTCTGTTATTTTCCCACAATTTCACCGTTGCCGCACGGCTCCTGTACACGCTTGTAACATGTTAATTCGGTATGACGAGACCCATTAATTACGCGGTCGTTTATCAAAACCGAGGTATGGCACGCACAAAGGCTTGTATTTTTTCTCGTTATTATTTTTTTAAAGAATAAAATCATCTCAAGTGGGAAATTGAAAAATGAGAAGATTATAACATCCGACTATGATGAATTAATCAAGTGATTTATCTACTGAAGTAATAGCGTTGTAAAAATAATTAATGTGGAGGTATATAGCTGGGGAAATAACCGTCTTCAAACCCCTGTGTTGAACCTATTTCGTCGAATATACTGCAAAAATTTTCTATTCAATTTTTCCCTCAAAAAAATTGTTTTGTAATTTTTTCAACATGTTGAAGATTTTCATTTTCAACATTCTTATCACTTTCTCTGACTTCAACTTCACTTTTCACTTCAACACCACTTTTATCAATTTTTCTTCTTCAACATGTTGATGATTGACTTCACTTCATATTTGTATTGTTCGTGTGTTAGTGCGTTATTTATCAACATGTTGATGAATAGGGCATTCACATGTTGATAATAAGAATTGTTGGGAGTACTCCCGAGTCGAGGATTTGGTTCTAATTGAACGTACCACAGGTCTTTCGAGATCTCTCCATACCTAGATTGACCTGGTAAGTCCTAATTAGTTCTGTGACGTAGTTTTCCGGAGACGTTCGAATCCTCTCTTTTGGGAGGGAAAATAAAGGACCCTTACCACGTGCTTACCACCCTCGCATTCGGCTCGGGTGGTAATTCTGCACGTGGGCACGGCTCCTTTATTTTCCCACCCTTAGTGGGAAATATACTATTTTCACCCGGGGCCAAGTGTCAGATCTTGGGTTTTTGCCGAGGGAAAATCGACTTTCGCCAAAATCGAATTTTTCCGCCAAGTGAGGGTTGATTCTGTATCTTCTCGCGATTCTGATGCCAATGGAACCGTTGGAGGTGGGGAAAAGGTTGAAATAAAATTTTTTTTTTCATCCTCGGCTAAAGTGTCAGATCTTGGGTTTTTGCCGAGGGAAAGTCGACTTTCCCGAAAATCGAATTTTTTCGCCAAGTGAATATTGACTCTTTATTTATGGATCCTTCTAATGCCAATGAAACCCTCGGAGGCGCGAGAAATGCCGAAATAATTTTTTTTTTCACCTGGATCAAGGGTCAGTTTTTTCAACAATTTCACTTTTTATTTAGACAACGCATGCAAGTGGAGGGACGAGGATGGCTAGAATAGATTCTGGAACCAATTTCAGAGACGAAGAATTTATCTTCACTGTAACCTGGAAAATGATGGGGAAAATGGGTCTATGGTCAGCATCCTTAGCCGGAAATTTATCCACCTATCGACCAAAGTCACTATTGACCCCACATTTCGAAAACTGTCACGTCCACTTTTATCAAACATGAAAAATAATATTTTTCTCGTCCGCTAAATCACGAAATTTTCTGCTCCATCCCCCCGGGGACTGCCTTCCAAACCTTCAGGATCAGAAATAAATACCCTTATCCCAGATTTGTCAGCCACGAAACTTCCATACACTTGTGTTTTTTTTCCCTCATCCCCTTGTCTCAAGTGATCTTATCAACTTTTCCGAAAACCCGAACTAGAATTAAACTTTTTTCCCTTGTTTTTGCGGACTTTCCTTTTTAATTCCCCATGGACTCCATCGGTTATCAGATGCAGGCCTAAGGGGGAGGATAAAACAAAAAAAAGTATAGGGGAAAAGATATAAGTGAAGGGTGAAGAATTGATATATTACCTTGTGTTTGTCCACCTGAACCGGTCTCAAGTGTGGATCGAATAGTAACTTGTCTGGCTCAATGTTTATGGGACTCTGGCGTCTACCTTTGCTGCACAGTGACCATTGTGGATTTATAAGACCCCAGAATGAAGGACCTAAAATCATAAAATACGAAAAAATATTGAACAATCGGTTTCTGCATTTTTCCTCTTATCAAAAACTTCATTGGAAATATTTTCCATTTTGACCGATTTCATCGGAAAGCCAGGGAACTTTCCTCTTCCAAACCGTGGTTATAACTCATTTTGCCCCACCCATTCCCCAGTTACATCATCAACTTTTAAACATTTAAACATTTTAAAGGTCTTTATCAACATATATAACAATCAAGTACATCGAGTAACAGTATCACAATGAGCTTGGACTCAACAATAGTTAGTACACTGAGAAAAAAAATTTCTAATATCTGAAACATATTTTCTTGAGAGAAGTAAATTATTTTTAATGGCTTAAATGTCAGAATGTGTGCACTTCACGGAACTCGAATAAATTTTCATTCATCACTATCGTTCCGCGTTACGTCATGAATATTTTACATATTGCAATATTGGAAGTGACTGAAGATTGACGATTCTTCTACGCGATATAAGTAAGTTCATTTGCGACAAAATCATACTTGAGTACAAGAATATTTTAAAGCATGAGGCCTTTCTCGGGTCATGTCAGTTGAGTTGCCTGAGAGAATTAAGCAATTGAAGAAAATTTACTTGTCTCAAGAAAATATGTTTCAGATATTAGAACATTTTTTTCTCAGTGTACAGCTTCAGCTCGAAGGCTATTACATGTATTTTGCATAAAGATTGCGAATTTTTTTTTTGTGGCGCTTAAGGAGTATGGGAAAGAAAACAGAATATGTTGCGCAGGGAAAAATTTAAGGATCAAAAAAAAAAACCCTATTTCATGAGAAGTATCGAGGGGACAAGTCCCTGGGAATTCATTTACGGCGTATGGACCACCTTGAAATTTTATAGGGGGTGAGTTTACATAAAAAACTAGTTTGAAAAACGACAATTTTCACTTATCTGTTTATCCAAAAATTTTGGAGCAAAATGGGTTCATGATCAGGGTTTGGAGGCGGTAATTTTTCTGGCAATCTGCCTGCGGACATTAATCTGCGGAATTCATTGATTTTTTCTTAAATCGTCCGCCCTAATGAACCGTCACTCGCCGTTAATGAATGAACATTCAATATCGTTATTATTACCTTAACTAATACTCCATCAATACCCTGATATTTTTCCTTTCACCCAATCTCCGATGTTCTCAAACTACTAAGAAAAGAGGTAAAGAAACTCATTAAGAATATACTTTCATTCGTACTCTTTTCTCCGTGAGACGATATCGATTCCATTTGACAGGAGAAAAGTTAAATTTCTCAGAGGAGTCGACAGTGGGAGGCGAGAGAGCAAAATGATGAGGATCGGACGTGGGAATTGAGAAGGGGGCTGGGGAGGTGGTGAAGTCGGTGGGCAAGGAAAACTCGGAAAAATAAAAAGTAAAAATATATAAAAGAAAAATCCCCCAACAGAAGTCCCATAGGTCCATATACCGAGATCAAAAATTCTTCTTGCTTCCCGGGGAAAAAGTTTGAAATTACTAAAATTTGAAATTTTTCCTCATTTTTTACGAATGACGTGGAAAACTTTGTTCTCCCCATTTTTCCGTATCTCCAAATTTTTCAACTCGCATGGAGAGTATTATTATGGGACTGAAAATGGCATCATCATATAGCTAGGAAAATTTATCATTGAATTAATGGAAAAATGATGTCTCGATCTCATTAACTTTTTTAAAAATGAAGATCATTAAAAAAAAGAAGAGATCATTAAATGAGGAAGTTGTTCTGAACATTTACCAAAAAAAGATCATTCATAATTTAAAAAATTGTAATAATTGATCTCTCCAGTTGAGTAAATTATCAGCATGTTGATGACCATCAACATGTTGAGATGTTGATAGTCATCAACGTGTTGATATGTTGATAGTCCTCAAATGGCGCCTCATCGTCTTGATAATTAATTCATTCATTCGCATAACATTCAGATCATAAACATTGTCAAAACTGCGTGATGATGAATAAATCATTAACATCTCATCAACATTATCAACTTTATGTACAAATTTCAAACATCAAATTCCCTGAAATTTTACCATTCAACGCTAATGATTTTTTACATTCCAAATGAGCACGTTAACTCAATTGTAATTTACGCGTCAACACCAGGGAGTAAAATAATATCGGCAAAAGGTCAAAATTAATCAAGCCCTCAACGTGATTTCAAACCGGTTACCCACCGAAAATTCCGTTAACGCCGAGAGAATGGGCGTAATTAAACGCTCGCATATCATTACGTCCATTGTGAAATCACCTCTTCTCTAACGTATAGTGGAGAGGGATCGGGGTGAAGAGGGTCCAAAACACGTATTAATAGAAACGGGTTAGCTGGAGTACACGTAGCACCCACTGAACTCGGTTATCGCTTTGGTAATTTTTAATTATATCTCGCGTGCATACATACCGTAATACCTTGAATATATAATAGGTACATTTATCATACAATGCCGCACCTCTCAAGAGTTACAATTCATTTATAAAGTAATGGTAGGAAGGCATTGGAAAATTGCATTATATTAATTATTGATTGTTCTTGGAATGACGTGGAGAGAAACAATACGACAAAATAATATTGATATCAACATTTTTATGAGGACAAAATGTTCATTATTGATAGATTGCGTATCGAGATGATGATGATTCGAGGAATTATCAATATGTTGATGCAGGACTTATCAACGTGTTGATGTGTGAATTATCAACATATTCGGGTGGTGTTCATCAACATGGAAATAAGTCAAACATCGACATGTTGATGGAGGGGCTGTCAACACGTTGATATTTTGATTATCAACATGTTGATGTAAGGATTATCAGCATATTGGTATCAGGATTATCAACATATTGATGTGAAAGTCATCAACATGTTGATAATTACCAGCCATTGGCGTTCTGATGCGCAACTATCAACACAATTTTCATTCGTTGATAACTCGAGAACTAATCACGATAATAGGGCTCATAACCACTATTTGAAGATGTAAATTCGCTCACTTATCGATTGGGGTAACTCTTGACCCCAGATTCACAATTCTTACCCTGTGAATGTTAGTTTCAATCGAGCGAAAGGGTGAGGTGGCGGGGGGGGGNGAAAGGGGGGGGGGGGGGGGGGGGGGGATGAATTGTGATTACTTTGTTATCAGAAAGGGGGAGGAAGGATGGCAGACTAACCATTAAGCACCATATCTGACAGGTATTGCCTGACTCGTGAGCGTTCGAAGGCGCTAAGGATAACAAGCCTATTATTGAAACTTGTGGAAAGCACTGGGAGCAATCATACTGCAATTAGTGGAGTGATCGAGTGTTTCAACACTTCAACGCGATCTCTATAATTGTCAAAAATATCATTATCAAAATTTTGAATTTACCGGGGCAAAACAGGTGGCTCATTGTAGTCAGGGAGACTTCCCATTGAATTGAAAAAAAATTATCTCTGTTCCTCATAAAATACTCGAATTATTAAAACAAAACAAATTCTCTTTTCAACATTTAGTTTTTTTAATATCTCGGCAACAAATTCATGTGAAAGGGTTTATGATCAGAATGTTTTCAATTTTTTCCTCCCGCGAAATTGAATTAAAAAAAAATACAATAAGTGGAGAGACGAATGAATATCATGAATATCATAAAAAAATATATATCAATGAAAAGAGTGTATACATTGGATGGGCAAGTCCAATTAAGATGTTTTTTCCGCAACGGATATGGCTTTTGCCCAGACATCTCTAGGTATCTGGGTGGCACAAGTATATATACACTGAAAAACCATGGCTGTACTTCGGCCTACTACCGTCCTGAATTCATATGCATACATGAATACATTTCACTGTTTCTCCAATCAAGCCCGAACCGTCCCGGTGTCCCCAAGGGGCGGAGGGGAGGTCGGGAGGGAGAGAGAGTGAACGGATAAGGGAGGAGAGGAGTATTTTTTTACTATAGAGAAGTAGAGGAACTATTGTCCGGTCAAATAACTCTCAATACCCTATATTTTTTGTACATCTATATTTTTTTGTGCAGGGTTATCGATACTTTCATCAAGATAACTATAGGGTTTATTGTTTTTTCGGTTGGAATTTTTCTCCCATTGATTATCGGCAACAGTGGGAGGTTTTTTTTCTGTGATCAGACGGCGTATTTCCGGATTTTTTTTCGAGGTGGTGATTTTGACAATTCAGGGTCGATAACAGTCCCTTTTGGTATAGATCGAAAATGCCCGGCTTCCGAGCACTGCACACCCAGAACAATTTTTTATTTGAATCGAATAAAAAAAAAATTTATTATCCAGTGGAAATGAAAATTTTATTATTCAGTCATGTGTGTAAAGGTTCAGACTGGAAACCTAAGGGTTGTGGATTCAAATCAAACCTCCGGCGATTACTCCGCATTTTCTCCCATTCATATTTTATCATTTTCTAATACAAATTAAAAATCAAATTTTTATTTGAAATTTTTTCCTTGTTTGAAGAATGTCGTTGTGAGAAATGAATAGACTTGTTTATTTATTTCGAAAGAAAGATTTCAATGTATCAAATAAACAAATTATTAATTTCAAATGAAGAAATTTTTTTAATATAAAAAAACCTTCATTTATTATTAACGAAAAATTTGCAATTCAAATAAAAACGTTATTTTCTGCTATTTAAATAAACTTTATTTTATTAAAATAAAAAATCTTTTTGGGTGTGGTCATAAACACTTCACCATGATTACTCTCTAAATAATCAATGTAATTAAATCGCCGAATACAAATTTTAATTGTCTGCAACTCGTAAATAATCCCTTTTTTTAAAATCAATGTTCAATTTTTCGAATCACTCCCGGGATTCCCCCCCCCNCCCCCGGGCTCCCCCCCCCCCCCCGCTAATCCAACCGATCATTAGAAAAAGATATCACTAATTAACCCCTCAGTCTTCACCCAAATACTCGTGAAAATATATGTCTAAAAAAATAAATAAATAAAAAAAATCCACTCCTTCTTTG